TGGGTTGCCAACTTATAAAATAATGCTTAGACTGGTTTTACAAGTACAATATATCTTGTTGTCTACATACAATAACTTGAGAGTTTTTCATTGTTTGAAAATATTGTGTTCATTATTATAATCTGTTTCTCATAAGTCATCAAAATATTGGAGATAATTACAGCTAAAACTGGAGGGACTTAAAACAAAATATCAGACTCCATCAATAGAGGGGTCTGAGAGCCAATGGATTACAATTGTTATTCTAGTCCCTTTGGAACAGTTTCTAAACATTGCAGTTTGATTTCACTCATGCCAAAGAATAAAGGAGTTCAATAAGTGTTAGTCTGGATAGATATTTTCACAAACTGGATGGGAGCCTTCCTTTGTGAAATAGAAAAGGCATAATAGATGGTAAAAGTTTTAGTCTCAGAAATCATTCCCTGATTTGGACTTAAAAATTTAAGTGATAATGGCCTCCTTTTAAAGCAACAGTTACACAGGACGTCTCTCAGGAACTGGGCATTCTCCATCACCTACATTGTGCATGGAGGCCACAATCATCAGGAAAGGTAGAAAAAATAAATGAGACTTTAAAGAGACATCTTCATAAAAATGGCTCAGGAGACCCACCTACAGTGGCCTCACTTACAATCTTTTGCTCTCATCAAAATAAGAAATACACCTCAAACTCTAGGCCTCAGTCCATTTGAAATGCTTTATGCATGCCCTTTCCTCACTAATAATTTCCTCTTTGATAGAGAAGCAGATGTCTTACTGAAGGATGTCACCTCACTGGCTAACTTCCAACAGACTCTTCAACAGCTAATGGAAGCTCAGCCTAAAGAAAAGGGAAATCTCATATTCTACCCCAGAGACTAAATACTGGTAACGTCTCATCCTTCATCATTCTCTTCCCTAGGACCAACCTGGCAAGGACCACACACTGTGATCCTGTCAACTCTGTCAGCTATCAAAGTAGCAGGCCTGGACTCCTAAATACACCACACCCAACTCAAATCCTGGGAACCAGAGACTGTTGCTGAGTGTGAGAAACCATAATCAGAATACTCCTGTGGACCCATAGAAGACTTAAAATTCCCGTTCAAGAAAAAAACAAAGCTTTCAGATAAGTAATCTAAGACTTTACTCTTAGCTCCTTTATTAATCACTTTATCACTTAAGGGAGAATACAATTCCTCTTTAAGGTTGGCACAAGAATATGCAGAGTCACTACAACAAACATCTTGCTGGATATGTAGCCTGCTCCTCTTGTCCAGTACATCTAGACTTCCTTGGTGGGTATCTATACTTCGGGGAGATGATTAGAAAAAACTATTTTCTTAGAAAATAGAAAGACTATTTTCTTGGTTACTTTTAGAAAATAGAAAAGACTATTTTCTTGGTTACTTTTCTCTCATTACTGGGACAAAATACCCGACACCAAAATTAAGGATGGAAAGTTTTATTTAGCTCACAGTTTGAGGAGGTTTCAGTCCATATTTGGCTGGCTCCAAGGAAGAGTAACACATGGCAGAGGGCCATAGTTCACGGCAGTGGAAAACAGCAAAAACAACAAGAGCAAAGGGAGGAGCAGCAGGAGTAAGACTCTTTCCCTCCCTTATACTGTATGCAGGCTCCCTGCCCCAGGGCAGATATAGCACTCATACCCATAATCCCAGCATTGGACCATGGATCAATCAAAAACTCTGTAAGTCCACCCCATGACTGCATGAGGCTTTGGGAGGGCATGTAAGCACAAATGGTAACAACTATATTGATGAGTTATGAAAGAATTTGATAGTTCATAGTTTAGCCCACGATTGTAGGCCACTCAGCTACCTTATAGCTGAGTGGCCTAAAAACCATATTCTTAATCCTGGACATAATAGAATTTTTTCTAACAATGCCACTGAATCTTCTTTAAATGCTTTAGTAGGACCCCTATTAAATAAAAGTATCCTGAGGGCAAACAAGCTCTCAAATATCAAGATTTCTACTTTTAAATATTGGGTGATTATCTTTGGTTAACCTCCACTACAGGATATCTTAGTAGAAAGGCCCCCCTCTGCTAGGAACAGAAAAATCACTCCTATTTTCATTAGCCTAACTCTACTAAATACTCTGGATGGACACTCCCCAAATGATGTATACACACAATAACTACAGGCTGAAGATTGGTGTGCAACAAACTAGTTTAATCACCCCAGAATTAGATGGGAAGCCCCCAGTGTTGCTCATTGGTCCTGTGGAACCGATCTGTGGCCCTGGCTTCCCCCTGGATGTATAGGAAGATACATGCTGGGATTTTCATGGTTACAAGGTAAAAGTGCCGAAAGTATGGACCTGCAAACTTGTTCCACCTATCCATTTATGGTCTAAAATCATGTTTCACTGGTATGACCAGTTGGCCTCTATCTTTATCCCTTCCCTAGGATTAAAAGATGTCATTTAGCATACTCAGGCCTTAACTACCTATAATAAGTGGGTCTTAAATGACACCACAGCTACTCTCTCTCTTGAATGAAGAAGTAAAATTAATAAGACGAGCCATCCTCCAAACTTGGATTGCACTAGAAATCCTAACAGCAGCACAAGGGGGTACTTGTGCAATTATAAAAGATTAATGTTGTGTGTGCATTCCTGATGTTTCTGCTAATATCTCAATAGCTGTTCAAGATATTAAATGACAGGTTAATAGCATGTCAGATTCTGAAACTCCCTGGACCTTCTCCTTATCCTCTTTATGAAAAACTATTATGGGTTCCTCCTGGTGGAAAATTTTGTTGGTTATATTAATAATTATCTTGTGGATTTTATTATTTGGTCCATACATTTGTCTCCTCCAGACTTAAAGCTGTACATCTACCCAAGATGAGAACACCTGGTGTCTATTGAGGGCCTTTAGATAGACCCTCTGAAGAGTATCTCTCATTGCTGATTGCAACTATGACCCTCTTCAGCTGGAAGAAGCAAATTGAGTAGTTAGGGGTACTTCTTCAGAGAGGGGAATATTATAGATAGCTCAGTTAGGTAGAAATATTGCCAGCAGTCAAACAGGGCTGGGCCCTCAAGAGATCAATGTAGAAGACAACTGTTGCTAGAAGTATATTCACTGAAGAATGGTCTTCAAGAAAAAGAACTACTCATCCATATACTTCCCCTAAAGATGAACAAAAGTGATTGATATTCTAAGCAGGTATCAATCACCTTGGGGTGGAGGACCAAACCTCCTTAACCCACCCCTTCAGGGTAAGTCCTTGTCTGTGCATGTTTGCTTGCTATGTAACTTGTTTCCCCATTTCATCCTCATTTAATCAATATGACCTTAGTGACTATACTTGTTGTATGCTTATTGGCTGACTATAGTTTTGTCCCACCTCATACCCATCCTATGATTTGCTATTGGATCAGTATTACCTAAGTGACCATATTTGTAATCTTATCGATTGATGATAGTCCTGTCCCACCTTAAGCCTGCCTCACCTCATGGCTTTGCTTAATAAGACACCCTTGAGAAGCAGGGTTAGTGGGCAAACCCTTCTGGGTCCCCTTCTGTCCCTCTCATATTGAAGCTTTCTTTCCCTCAATAAATTCTTCCTACTCTTAAAAAAAATTTTCAGAGATGTAAAACTTCTGTGGTACTAGAAAAGATTACTTATGATTTTTTAATACAATTTTTATAAAATTTGTGTGTTCTTTTATAAAATATACATAACAATATAAAATAATTTAAAGCAGTTTTATGCAGGAATGTAATAGGTAAAACTTGGTGTACATGAACTCATATGGTTTTAAAGTTTTAATTGCTTACACAAAGTAGTAGTAGATTGTTATCACTTGATAAGCTGCAAAGAAAATTATTCAAAAGATATTATCAATATATCAGTTAATAAGTTAGATTACATTTCTAATTTTATGAAATATCTGAAAGAATGTAAGAAAAGAAAAAGAAAAATCTGAGCATGTACACACATACATACAAATCCATGGGGGAGCAAACATAAGAAAAAAATGAATGATCTCAGTTGAAAAATAACAATAATTTCATAAATAATTTACAGTCCAAAAGTCTAAAGTGAAAAAGACAGATACTGTATATTTTCAAAAGGGTATATAACATGTTTTCTAATGCAGGAGCACTTTACATGAGAAATGAAAGACATAACACTAGGTAAAGAATGAAATAAAGAATTACAAATGTCTACTTTAACATCAGATAAAGTAGGCATAAATGCTAAGCATCTTACCACCCCTAGAGTTATAACCATAATTAAATCTAAACACTATTAAAAAGTCTTAAAAATATTAATGTGTATATAACTAACAATATGGTTAAATACTTGAGCAAAAATTGAGAAATAGAGACATACAATTTCACAATCATTCTAGGGAATAATTTTTCCTTCTCATAGGAATTAACAGTAATAAAAAGTAAAGAAAAAAGATTTGAAAATAGTCAAACAATATATACTAACAATTATGTACTTTTACTCACCTAAAGAAGAGGCAGCATGCCTTCTTCATATCAGATACAAGATTGACTGCACACTGGTGCATAAAAGAAGTCTTAAAAATTCAATGGAGAAAAGTTATACAAATTTTTAGGCTATATATATAATTTATTTATTTATGGCAAAAAAATGGGATTCCAGCAAGAAATATAATTTGTGGAAAATTTTCAGGGCTGCCAAATTATGGATTTTATGAAGATCACAAAGGAAAAACCTCTTAATCTAGATTGATAAGAAAAAGAAAATGTAAATCAATGTCAGGTGTTAAAAATGGTTTAATTTCACCAATTCTTCATACTTTACACCAAAAATGTAAAATTTAGAAAAAGCAAACAACTCTTCAAAATGCAGAAAATGAGACCTGTGTGGCTTTGTTCTTCTTTTTCAAAATGTTTTAGCTGTGTTGTGTGCCTAGTAGATTACATATAAATTTTAAAATGGATTTTTCTATTGCTCCAAAAATGTCCTTATAATTTTGACCAGTATTATATGCAATTATAGATTTTTTTATATTACTGGCTTCTTAAATATATTGTTATGCAATCTATATATCTACCCACTGATAGATGCTTTAACTTCTTACTGTAATGTTTTATAGTTTTTAGTATAGAAGTCTTTCACCTCTTTGGTTAAGTTTGCTTTTAAGTATATTGTTCTCTTCTATGCTTTCTAAAAGAAATTATCTTTTAATTTCCATAGGGATCATTCATTGTTAATCTATGTAAAATCACCTGATTTGCTTTTTAAAGTGTCATATGTTTGTAATATATGACATTTTTATTCTTTTTGGAAAGTTCCTATATATGTGTATATAATTTTTAATCTTCTTTTTCCCTCCTTATTCTCCTCCCTTCCCTCATTGCCTGACCTACTCAAAGGCTTTTCTTGCATTTTAATTTTCTAAAATTTTTCTGAATTTTATGTTATAGGTAGTTTCTTTTTTCCCAGAACTTGGAGTTTTCCGTGTAGAAGATCACATTTACACATGGAGATAAATAGAGATGTTATTTTTCTGTTTCAATGTTTGTACTTTTTATTTCTTTTACTAGCCTAATGTATCTGGCTAAGACTACTCAATACTATGCTGTACAGAGATAGAAAAAGCAGATGTCCTTGCCTTCTTTCTGATTTTAGAGGAAAAGTTTTAAGAACTATCCATCCAAAATTTTAAGGTTTACTCATCACTGGATATGATGGTATCTGTGGGCCTTTCAAATGTGACTTTAAAAATGTTTTAATTACTATGGTTAGGAATTACTACCTTTCCTAACCATAGTGATTCCTAACCATAGCTGTTGAAAGATCTTATCATGAAGTGTTAGGGATCTTGTTAAATAAATTTCCCTCGGCATCAGTTTAGATAATTATGCATTTTTCCTTCTTTTGGTGATATGGGATTTTATATTAATTGCTTTTTAAAGTTGGAATCATCTGTGCATTACAGAAATATATCCTACTTGCTCAGAGTGCACCATCCTTTCACTGTTCTGTTGGATTGTGTTTGCCAATCTTTTGCTGAAGAATATTGCAGCAATATTATCAGGAAGATTTTTATATACTTTTTGTATAGCGTCTTTGTTTTGTTTTATATCATGGTAACCCTGGACTCATTAAAAGTGTTGTCTTATCTTCAATATGTTTTGGTATGAATTTCATGATAATTATTGGTAATTGTTGCTTAAATGATAGAATTTACTAAAGTTGGTCAACTCTAGAACTGATCTCTTCTTTGTGGGCGGATTTCTGCTTACTGATTCAATCTTACTAAAAGGTTTGAGTCTGTT